CCCCCCCCCCTTGCAATCCTGGGCCCTTCAGGCTCCACACCAGTGCCCGCCTGCTGGGGTGGGGGGACAGGGGTGTGGGGAAGAGCGACCTGCCCTCACGCACCTCCACTCATACCTGTGCATGCCCAAGACTGGGTGGCGTTGAGACAGCATGTTTCCTGGTGTGCTGGCAGCTGGGGGCAGCTCGGGAAGGAGGGGGTTCTTGAACGGCTGCAGGACAGAGGGGAAGTGCAATGGTTTTGCAGCAAACCAGCGTGACAAGTCACTGAAATGCAGCCAGACAGGCCTGGCTTTAAGATACTTCTTTTCGCTGATGGGCCTCACTCAAGACTTTTCTTCCACCTGCAAGATGCATCTTACTTTTTTTCCATCCTGTGCAGCACACGGCAGTCCAAAGCTGCCGCCTGCACTGGGAAATCTGCTCCATTCTGCAACCAAAGGGTTAAGCAGGCTCCAGGGCTGAACTAAGCTGAACTCAGCGTTTAATTTTCAGAAATGCTGAGGCCTGCTCCTCTTACATTGTTTTCAGTCAGAGGCGGAGGAAGTACGCGCTCTTGGAAAACAGACCGTGTGTGTTGGCCGTGCCCGGGTGGGTCAGGAGGCTGGGACCACCCTTCGGCACATCCAGCAGCTGCCCCTGCCCCGGGGAGCTGTTCAGGAGCAGCCCAGGATGCTGCTTTGAGGTCTCCTCCCTGGCATTGCGGTGTGAACCCCAAGCATCCTCCCTTCTCCCGCCTGTGGCTCTCCAACCATGACAACGGCTTCAAAGACAGCGGCGTCATCGCCCAGGGGAGCCTGCAGACTGTTCGGAGACAGAGCCAGGGAAGTGGAGGCCACAGATAAGGCGTGGGAAGGAAGAAGGAAGGACCAGAGCCAGCCAGCTGAGCTCCAGGGTTTGAAGATCACTGCATCCCCTGCCTGGGCTCTGTGTTGCTGAAAGCAGCCTTCTAGTTCACCCCTGTGCAAACATCTTGGGATTCTTCCAGTTCAGCTTGCAGGAAGGTTGGAGGTGTCAGGGAAAGCCCCACTGTAATACTCCATGTGCAGGTGTCTCAGAGGCACCAGTTTCGCTATAGAGAGCTTAATGGTAAGGTATAGGAGAGCTGCAAGGAATAGCAGACACAAGTGTACAAACCCTGCAGTGCTGCCTCTCAAAGACTTTTCAAGCTCTTTTTGTCATTGCATCCCTTCCTCTGCCATCCTGCCCACAGCAGTCACCACTCCAGCACAGTGTCTTGCTCAGGCACCCTTGCCCTTGTGTGGGCAGAGATACAGCACCTGCCAGGACCACCACTGCTTTGGCAATGGCTGCAGCAGGGACAGCCACAGCATCACACATCACAACAGTTTTTAGACACAGGACTATCAGGGAAAACCTCTTTCTGCCTCTAGAACAACTTCTTCCAAGGTCACAGAGATAGCTCAGACCTCGCATCCTCTGTGAGATCTGAGCTAACAGCTCATGAAACTACCATGCACCCTCAGGATACTCCACCCATCTCCCTCTCACTCCTGTCAGGTCTCTCCTGCCTGCACTATGACAAGGTTGCAGGGATGAGGGGTGGGGTGCCAGGCTCTCCTCCTCACAGCAACTCCATCCTGCACAAGGATGTCTGCGCCCCAATGGAAGGCACAAGGGGACACGAGGAGGTGTGTCATGAGCTTCTGACATGCACAGCTTGTTTCACATCCCCAGGCAGCCCAGTCCCAGACCCCTGTCTCTCCTGGGATGGAGAAGGGGCTGCTCTCCATGTCACCTGCAGGAGAGGAGCCCTTTTCACCGCCCCTCTAACTAGTGCCTCCCCTGGAGCCCTTGTGCCCCCTCTCACTCCCAGCACTGTTTTCTCAGCTCTCCCACCACCATGAAGCCTGTGCACCCAGACAAGACAGCCACCCACCCCAGGAATGAGCCCCACAAGGACAGACTCACGGCTGGCAGACAGATCTACGCAGTCTTCACAGCAGAAGAAGGTCCCCAGGTCATGAGAAGTGTCTTTTGACCACCTGATCTCTCTTGGCCGATGGAAGAGCTGCTGCACAGAGGTCCCCCAGCTCCACCCTTTCTGCTGCCCCATCCAGTCATAGCTTCTCTCTTTGACCTCTCATCCCTGCTCTTCTCCTAGGCTGGAAGTATCTCTGCCCAGTGCTGGCCAGAACATTAAATGGCCTTAATGTTATCAATAATGCAGGAGCATTGATGGCAGATAGCTTGTAGACAGCTTCCAGACTCTGAGGAGCACTGAGACCTCCCTGTGTATGGCCAGGCAGGACCTGGGGTGTAGATAAATGCCTGCAGCCCACATTGGGGTGGTGAGCTCAGGCAGCGCCTGACTGGGAGCCATCCTGCCTTGCCCACGTCTCTGGACCTGGAGCAACCTGAAAGGGGATCCTCTCTGCTGGCCCACGTGAGGTGCTCACCGGCCGGAGGCACACACAGGAAAGCACTGGCTGGACACGGCTATGTGCAAGTGGTTGTCTCAGCTTTTGCACTGTGGTGCTGTATGCGCTGGACAGGTTTTCATGTGGCCCTAGGTAGCCCATGACTATCAGGTTGTGCTGGGGGCAGCAGCAGAAGTTCTCTCCGACACGTCCCTTGTGTGTTGAGGAGCTGTTGCTGAGCCCACAGGCTGTGCTATTCCTGTCCAATAAACTGGAGAAAGGTGGCACTGTGCCTTCCTTTGCGAAGGTGCTCAGAAAGCCATTGCATCAGGGCTACGTGCCCAGGGGAGGCAAACCTGAGCTGGTTTCTTGCAAGTTGCAGACTGGTCTGGGAGCTGCTGGCGTGCAGCTGCTGACTGCGAGACACAAGCCAGGCACTGCTCTTCCACCCGGTGGGTGTGGGGGGCCTGTGACAGGGCACGGCAGCCAGCACCGTGCTGTCCTTGTCGGCAGAGTGAAGGTGTGTGAGTGTGTTGAGGTTCTGCCGTCTGGGGAGTGGGGGTCCCCATCTGGGAGGCTGGGGGTCTGTCATCACAGGACATACAGCACCAGGCATGGATGGTGTTGGGAGCACAGCCCCACCTGGGACTCGCTGCATTGCCCAGCTCCCCACCACAAAAGGGGCAATTGGCTGAGAGGTGCTCTTGGCTGCTGGGAGACTCCCATCGTATCTCCTGAGGTGAGTTTGGGATGCTGACTTTCAGCATACAAATCCTGCTGCTTCCATGAGTTCGCAGGTGGGGGGGTGTGAGGGTGCATTCGACCTTCCCCAGGAAGGGGGACCAGCAGCATCACCTCTAAGGATCTTGTCCTGAGTCTTTGAAATAGGAATGTCCGACCTCTGCCTTCCCCTCTTTGCCCAGTGTCACCTTATGGGACATGTGCTGCATTTCAGGCTCAGTGTGCCCCTCAGCAGCCCTGCAGCCCCAGGTCAGAGCTCACTAGCCATGCTGGGCTGGCGGAGGTGCACAGTCCAGCCGGGCGCTCTCCCTCCTGCATATTAATTGCCAGAGCCATTAGATGGCAGCAACCACCACGCCACCACTGTCCCACTCCCCTGCAGCCCAAGCCGTGTAAAAAGTTTTGGAGCCAGGCCCCAGCCCTGATGCCCACAGCCCCCAGGCACCAGCAGCCTGCACCTGGTCCAGAGGGTGGACCACTGGCTGGGGAGATAACCCTAAGGTGGGGCAAGCTCCGTGGGACTGCAGAACTTGCAAGGAAAAATGAGGGAAGGTTCCAAAATAGGGGACTGGCATCCCCAGCAGCAACTTTGGGCTCAGTGAGGACAGGAGTGTGACCAGCCAGTTCTGGAGGACATCCCCGGGGAAGATGACTCTCTGGAGTCCATCTGCAAGGGACTGCTGCGAGCACACGGCTGAGAACCACCAGCTGCTGACTTGCAAAAGCCAGTCTCCATGCATGCACTAAGAA